CAAGCCCAAGGCCACCTGCCCGGCACCCAGCAGGCCGGCCAGGCTCTGCAGCACCGCCCTCCGGCAGCCTGACGGGCCCTTTCCAACAGTGAGCCCAGCGCGCGCGGCCTGGCCCTGCCCACGCTCCAGGCCTGTGCACGCATGTGCACCCAGCACACGCCTGGGTGGCAGCCCCCCGGCCCGCAGCTGGGGCTCAGCGCCCCTCCGGGGCCGGGACCTTGGGAGCGGCTCTTTTGTGCCACTCGCTGGTGTCGGGGTGTGGTCCTTGGGGGAAGGGGCCGCCAGGCTTCATCTCGTGGGAGGCGGGCTGGGGCGTCAAGGCCTCCCAGGAGGCCGCGTGCCTGGGGTTGGGCGTCTGCTGCGAGTGGCAAAGGCTGCCTCCTCCGGCCCTTCGTGACCCGCTACCTGCCGGGCCACCTGCAGCAGGAGGGCAGAGGGCGCCGCGGGCAGACACCTCAGGAGGGGGCGGGGAAGAGGTCTGGCCCCGCTGAGCGGCTTCTCCAGCGCCCGGCTGGAAGATGGGTGTCTGGAGCCGCGAATTTGGGGACTGCAGAGGAGGGGACGTGTGAGGAGGGGGCGAGAGAAAGCAGCACATGGAAAGAACACGGAGACACCAGACACACGGGCGCAAACCGGCGCACAGCGCCGGGAGCACTGCCCGAGGAAGGGGCCCTCCCTGCTCGCTCTGGCCCCTGGGGGCAGCAGCCAGCCATGCAGAGAGCCGCTGGGTGCAGGGGAGGAAAGCCGAGGTCCCTGACTGGACGATTCCTCCGCGTCGCGGCACCAAGGAGCTGGCCAGGCACCCGGCCGGCAGCCTGGGGGACCCGTGCTCCCGACCCCGCGCTCCGCCTTTGGAGTCTCTGGCTCACCCCGGTCTGCAGGAGGGCCCAGGCGGAGGCAGGGGAAGAGGGCAGGGTCTGGCCCGGAACGGGGGGCCTGAGGGCGCAGACCTCCCGCTGCTCCCCTCTGGCTCGGGATGGTCCCTCTCCTAGAGCAGCCCAGCTCCCGGCATGCTGGAAGCCACGGGCCACATCCAGAGAAAGCAGCCCCGAGTGGAGGCTGGGTTTACCCGGGTGCTGCTGGAGGCAGGAGTGCTGGGCGGGCGTGGGTGGGCCTGGTTGTGCAGGAGCGGCCAGGAGGGGGTGCTGTGCCCCACTTGTGAGACAAAGGCTCCTTGGGCCCAGAGGAGGACCCCGCTGTCCCCGCAGCACCTCCAAGGTCCTGCCACCTCTAGGCCCAGGGGAAGAGATCGCACAGCCCTGAAGTCCAGGAAGCCCAGCAGAGCCACATGGTACCGGCCCAGATGCACTGTCACCCCTAGGGAGCTTCCTCAGAGCGCATGCACACGACAGGGAAGGCCAGAAAAGAAACCCAAGGCTGGTGACCAAGACCTGGGAGGGAAAGGAGACGCTCTTAAAGGGAGAAGTGCCTGAGGACAGGCGTGGCCACGGGCCCAAGGAAGGCCCTTGCTTTCGGCCACGTGCGCCGAGCGGGCTGACACGGCCCCTGAGGGACGCGGCCTGTGTGCAAGGGCAGCGAGGCGGGCCTGTGCCCGTGCCCGCCCAGAGGCAGCCTTCCTCCCTTTGAGATGGCAGAGACTCGGTGAGCGGATGGAGGAGGGAGCAGGACACAGACACACACACAGCGGGCTCAACGCCTACCTTCCGGCAACCCTGAAAGACAGATTTCTAAAAAAACAAACAAAAAAGACAAAAGAAAGAAAGAAATAAAAAAAACAACAAGACGGCATGTGGGTAAGCAGGTGGGGAGTAGGCTTTACAGGCTCGAGGGTCACCCCGCTTTGGAAAGCCGCTCAGCGAGGCTGGAGTCCCAGGATCTGCTCCTACCCCCCCTGCGCCCCGGCGCCTGCGTTCTGGGGTGTCGGCGGGCAGCGGCACTGGCTCCTTCAGCCCGGCGGACGCAACGCAGGAGGAAGGGCAGGCGGCCTGCTCCCTCCAGCCCCTGCTGCTCCCCGAGCTGCCACGCCAGTGTGGGACGGGGACAGAGAGTGTCCTCCTCAGGCTGTCCCTCTGGGAGGTCGGGGGCTCAGGTGCGAGAAGCCTTGTGAAGAGCACCCATCCTGGGTCCAACACAGGAGAGCATCGGCGCACCAGGCGGCCAGGGAGGAGGCCGTGCGGCCCTCACCAGCCAGCTCGTACAAGCTGCAAGAACATGGTGGCGGCAGGGGGAGTGGCTGCAGCCAGACACAACCAACCGGGCGAGGGGAATGGCGGTCAAAGGGGCAAGCCCAGCGACCAGGAAAACATCTTCCTGGCTGGCCCAGCCTGGCTCCTGCCTCATGACTTTGCAGCTGCGTCACCAAATATAAGTTTCCATGGGAACCCAGGAGAGAAGAGGGGGCTTTCGTTTTAGCATCTGAGTTCACACTCCGCTAGAGAGGAGGCGGCATCGGCCATCTGCTCGGGGCCAGGGAATGAGGGGTGCCTGTGAGGAGTCAGGGAGAAGCCCGAGGGGTGGGCCTGGGCACGTCAGGTGCTGACAAAGGCCTTGTTTCTTCCCGAAGCCCCTTGTAACCTCAGGGCCCAGACCCGGTTCTGGTGTGCCCGCCCCCAACCCACCCTTGGGAGCCGGAAGGCCTGGCCTCAGACTATGCTACCCTGCACCCCCGCTCACCTGCGTACAAACTTGGAGGTGAACTTGCTGAAGATGCTCCCAGAGGCCCCCCGCCGACCCTGGCTGTGGCCAGAGGGAGAGGCTGGGGTCACACCATAGGGCAGATTCTGCTGGTCCCGCACCTGTCGGAGCTGCCCAGCGTGGAAGGTGCTTCGACTGGACACACCCCGGGGGAAGTTAGTCCGGTCTGGGGCGCCACCGCTGCTGCTGATGTTGTGGGCGGAGGGGGAGGCGACGGGGACACGCTGGGG